GGGCCAGTTAAATTGTTCTAATGCAACTCCATCTGATACTGTGAACCCCATTGCCATTTTAGCTTATGACATCTCAAATGAATAAGGAAAATATCTGCTCAGTTCAAAAAAATTTCAACCAATCTTTCATTTTCTTTAGAGTTGAAGCATCAAAACCTGCAGTGCATGCAATTTCAAGGATGATATTGTTGTTTGATCAATTATTCTTGTTATGCATAATGACAAATCATTAAAATTGTTAAATTAAAGGGTGCTGGCTTATTTGTAAAAATATCGCCAAATAACATTGTGTGACAGTGCTTTTTTTCCTGCACATGTCCTCTTAGATGAACGGAGAGTGATTTTGGTCCACAGAAAAATGTATCACATGAAATGCAACAAAAACAACATATTGGCCAGAAGTAGCTTGCAGATTGCTTGTTCATTGTGATTTTCAATACTTTACCTTAAAATGTCATTAAAATTGAGGAACTGAGTGATATTTCCCAGAAACCTTTCTTACTTATCTTAGACTCAAGCACAGAATAAGAGGCTCACATGATATTGGATGAAAGAAAAGAAAAACTGGAACCTTTTTATCAAAAACATAAGGTAGATGGGTCCTGAATATGAGCAGCCTTAAAGGAAGAATGAGAAATTTCAAGTTCTCAAAGTGTCACAGGTTTTTTCTCAATAAAGTACCTTGTGCAATTGTGGTTACTTTTTGTAGAGCTGCACTTTTAAACTGGAATAGCAAAACCAGCATATGTGAGCTTATCAAAGCATTGAAAAAAAGGCATATTTCAGAGAGAGTGGGTAGTGACTGCTGATCACTCACATGAGGGGGCAATAGTGAGAGTAGTTGGACAACACTGACAGTGAGATGGGAGGTGACAGAAAGTGGGGCTTGATTGCACGTAAGTCCATTCTCTGTTATATGGTGAAAGATTCATCAACTATTGGGCATGTCATATCGAGCACAATGATAAAAAAATTAAACAAAAAAACAAAAACAGTGTGGCAGTTGAATCAGAGATTCTGTACAACCTGATATGTCTATGTTTCCTATGACATAACTATATTTTCCTCTATTTCCACAACCCCTTTAGCACTAGGATGGGGATTCACCAAGAATTGGCACTACACCTCTATTATTTAAAGCTTGGTGAATTTTCATCTCTGACAAATGATGTAGGTTATTGCACTTCCCCTCACTTCTATCCTAGTGGGGAAGGGGGTTGAATGGAAAATCCTGGGCAAGGTTTTTTTTTGAGCTTCTGTGTTCACCTAGTGACCTAATCTGAGAAAAGAAACAAAATTTGGCAGCCTATATGTAACAAAAACTTCTACAGAAGGTACTACAGAAAAATAATGTGACTTTTCCAATATTTGAAAATTTCTTAACTGCCATTTCACATTTTTCATTCAAAGCAACATTCTTGCTTTTGTGGTACTTGAAGTTTCTCAAATTATTGTTTATCTCATGACACTTAATGTTTCTCATTTTGCTAGTTGATATTTTCAAAGTAATAAAATCTTGAAGCCTTTTCTTCCTACAACTTTGCATATTCCATGTCTTTAACTATTGGATTTCATAACTCCACAAAGACTTTCAAAAGCGGTCACCTCAATTAGACAGGTCTAATATAGCTTGATTCTAAGAATCAACTTATTTTCCCCATTTTTCCCTTGATTTTGTCACAATTTCCCATGACAGGCATTACTTCACCATCAAACTTCCCACAATACTAAATCATGCCTTTACTTCTGCTCTGAGAGGCTTTCAAGATCACTTTATAAGTTAACTCACTCTTCACAAATATACCTTAAGGTATATGCCTATGTATGCAGGATAGCAGTGGTGTGGACAGGAGGAGCCTGGGGGCCAAGGTGCCTTTTCAGTCTCTATTAGCTCCCTAATACAAACAGGGACAACCCAATATCATGGACATAAGCATGTGAATGCTGCCAACTCTATCAAAATTAGGTGTATTCTTCAGGTAGTTAGCTAAAGTGCAAGAAACTTCTTGTATTTTGAGAATGATGAGGTAGTAGGGATTTTAAACATAGAGATGAGATGAGAAATTAGGAAGTGCCTGCATTTGAATTTAAGGGCCTGATACCTCAACTCAACTTAAGTGGAAATACTCCTAACAAACTGAGCATGTAACTGTTGATAGACTCAAAGCATGAAGGCCAATTAGGCTGATGAATCAAACAATCAACACAATTGATACAGGACACTGATGAATAAAGAAATATTCTAATGAGCTCTAGGATCTTGATGCAGCAGATGTAAGAGTGGACGACATGGAAAAGATAGTATGCAAGACATTAGAAAGGCAAAACAATTCACAAAGTGCAAGAAACCTTCCCAGGGGATTCATTTTTTATGATTCTTCTTTCCTCATGAATTTAGAGAATCCTGACAAGAAGATATATATGTTCTTTCAGTCTCCATCTATTGAAATTTCACTTGTGTAAGTACCTTTCAGTTGCAGGGTTCCATAGACATTGTTGAATAGGGGTCTTCAGCCATTACAGCCAATTTGTAGGAGGAAGGGAGGGAGGAGTTAGGAATTTCAGGCAACAGGGGTTTTCCTTGTTGCAGTCTCATGAAAGGGGAGTTGAGAAGAATAAAGTCTTCCTATCCCCCCAAAAAATGAGCCAGAAATTTACCAGCAAAGAGGTCACCTCTTAAAATCATGGGGGAAAAAAAGCACACCTGCTTTACAGGAAACCCTGTCTTTAGCCTGCCTATACAACGATCATGCATACTTTTGGCATGTACTATCCCCCTTAACTGAAAAAGAGGCAGTAGGCATTTCATGTAGACTGAAGGCAATATTTTAAATTCAAGGTGATCCTTGCTGCAAGCTGCATCTAGCTCTCTAATTGATGCTGATATTATAGTGCCACAGACAATAGACACTCAATAATGGACACTTGAAGATGTATCAAATCCTTTTTAACTTGGCCCTTGATAGCAGCATTGAGTCAACTTTAGAGCTTTTCAAACAAGGAATCTCTTAAAAAGGTGCACTGCAATTCCAACTGATGGAAGGGAGCAGGATTTCAGTGAGTAGATTAAACTGAGAGCCCCACACCCGAATTCTCAATTGAGGATATTGGGTACTTACACAGTTGTCCTAATTCTGAGGTCTTCCTGCTTCAGTTGCATTCAAATTACTTCCCACTTCCCTGAACTTCAGATTGGTAAGGCAGGAAAGACCTGAGAACTTAGTGTTGGTCCAGTTCTTTCACTGGTGCACCAAGAATTCTGAATGACAGTGAAATTTGTAAAATATTGGCACTAGGCCTCCAGGACAGTGAGAACTTGGAAAATTTCTAAAGGAGGGAATAGAGGCACATTCTGAAGAGTGTTCAGTAGCACGAATCCAGATTTTACTTAGGAACATAAGCCAGCCATTCATTCATTCCACCACTATCTCACATGTCCATGCCTGTCTCCTTCTTTTTAAAATGAGATTCAGTTTGAAACTTGAGAGTGGAAATATCTTCTCTAAACTCTTTCTGACTAGGCGACTACAGTCTCAGCTGTTTTCTCTTTCTTGATACTTGAGCAGCTCAGGGTATATAGCAAGAACTCAAGAGATTCGTAAATACAATCACAATGCCGACGTAAGACCGAGATGCCCGATATCCTCCTAATCACGATGGAAGCAGCCAATACTTGTCATAAATAATTATAATGTAGACTCAGGAAAGGTTCATGTGAAGAAGTCATGGCTGTTGGTGTGTTAATGGTTCACTCAATGGCCTTGGAGAGGAAGTCGAGGAAGCGCTTGGCATATTGCTCTGGCTGGGCGGTGGAGATTCCCTCGACTCTGTCACCATATTTCACTGTCTTTGCTGCCTTGGCAGCTTGCTTCTTTACCCCATAGTGGGTGAGGACATCAATGATGGCGAGAAAATAGATCTCTTGCTTCTCTGCCTCTGCACACACACACACACACACACACAACCAAATCATATCACATAGGTAGGATGGAGACAAGGGTGGCAGAGGACATACCACAGAATACCATAAAATCAGAGAGCTGGTCTGAGAAAAAGAGGCAAAAATTTCAAGCTTACAGTTCAAGGAGACTTTATCAAAAACTAAGTTCTTGACTAAATTCTTCATGAAGGTTCACCCAGCTGAAAACTTGGAAAATCCTCTTTCCTTTTACCCTTTCTCGGACCCATTCTTTCACCAATTTTAATTATTTTTTCACAACTTATTAGATGAACCTACAATTCATTTTTCTCATGTGCCTATGGAGAGGGTGTTAAACCAATCCAATTAGAACAGCCAGTACCACTTACACTTCAGAATTATATTCATTATGACTACTTAAACATTAGGGGTTATGAAATACTAAATGATCAGCAGACAATCATTTAGGTAGTGTGAATGGGTCATACATGGTATTTCTCCCAAGTTTTTATGTGGTGTGTACTTCTGTGCAGGCTGTTATATTGATGAATCCATGAAATATCTGTGCTGCTTTTTCCAGGCTTTCACATAATTCAAGGTTGAATTTGAACCATGGCACAGGCTAAGAGCCACTTCTCATATGCACCTTAGCCATATTGCTCTCCAACTATATTACTCCTTAACCTATAACTCTTTTGGAGGGCAACTGCTAAAATAATTCAGGAGGGGTAGAACTATTCAATAGTTAGGATTTAGAGGAAGTCACAGCAAGTTGTGTCCCACTGCTCTAGCTAAAGCTCTGACTCAGATAGCCTTTTAAATGTTGTATGTAATTACTCCTGCCCATCAATCCTCATTCTACTTGCTTTTGAGGAAAGGCAACCCAACCCATTCCCCCCATTAAATATGCCATGTTCCCTTTCTGAACATTTGGACACTTCTTCTGTCAGGACAGAATCTAACCAAGATTGTGCACCATAACCAAGGAAATTACTAAGACGAATACATCGGTGGCAAAAAAAAAATTAATTTTCTGCAACCATAAGCTTTGTCCCCTTTTCTGACAAAAAATACAATCAGCTTAGGTATTTCTTTTCATCAAAGCCAAGACCGATAATGAGGATACTTTACGGTACATACCATCATGACTCGGGACGGCATAGATGTCGATATTGGGGTCGATCTGGCCATCATTGGAAGAAATGCGGCGGAGACGTGCAGCTAATGGAGAGTCGGGTGGAGTCGGGACTCCCTCGTTCGGATTCGATCCCCCTTCTCCTCCACCGGACCCACCACTGTCCTCTCCTTCTTCGTCCACGCCCTTCTCCAATTCCTCTTGCTCCTCCTGTTCTGCCCGTTCCATGTCATGCACTCCTAGCAGGAGGCTGTAGTCCATCACATGGAGCTTTGTCAGGAACTGTCACACACATACATAAATCATGCGTTAACTTCTTCCATTATCACGGAGAAGTGATGGTGAGGAAAAAAAAGGGATTCACGTCGGTGTCAGCCTGGAGGGTCTCAAGGAGCTTGTCCTTGGCCTCCTGTCCAATATGGATTTTCATGCCTTCGTTCACGAAGTCATTGTCTTTCAAGGTGGGTAGATCTTTCTCCTTCTCCTTATCGGATGCTTCTCGGTCGACCGTAGACCCCTTCAGATCGTACTTCCTGCAAAAAAAGTCCCATCATATCGGCACGACTAAACGATTTTTCAATTTTAAATACTAAGCAGTTCAGATATGCAAGCAAATCTACCGATGGATGCGAAAATGGTTGCTGAAGACGTTCCTCATGATGACGACGTAGTGCTCCACATTATCCACCGTCAGTCTGTACATACCCATGTACTGAGGAAGTAGGGTCTTCCCGTGCCTCTCGACGATATACTAAGAAAGCATCGGCATTGTCATCATTAGCAACAGCAAGGCGAACTTTATTGGTGAAGATATCTCTCAGTGAGTGACTGCTTTCCCATAGATGTCCCAACGATTAACCGACCTATCTTTCTAACCGATTACCAAAATCCGGTTTCGATTAAACGTCATGAATCATTCTCCTCTCAGTTCTTTGAAATAAAAAAAAGGAATTTCCCCCAGATATGGAACAGGACGTTCTACGAACACGGCAGAAGAGGCGGGGAAAAAAAAGATAAAAGTACACGCGGCTTCATATCTCTTTCTCTCCCCATGATCCCTTAAAGTCCCTGTTTTTTAATTTAATTACCTATATGCTCATTAGCATTTCTCGGATAAAAAAGAAAAGTGGAATTCTGACTCCCTTTTACTTTTGGCTTTCCCGATGGTCATAGGGATACGCTTCCAATGAGTTTTGGTGCCGCTCTCAAAAAGATTTCGTTCCCGTTTCGTGCCGTACGTCGGAGTAATCGGGAAGGGTTCTCAAGGCGAGAGTTCTCAATCACGTACTCCTTCCTTTCATTTTCTGATTATTCTGAAATAGCCCAATATTTTTCAAGTATTGTTCAAGGTTACTTCTTTTTTACTAACGGGGTCTAATCAGGGCTCTCAAGGACTCGTCAGGAAATGGAGATCCCTTACCATTCGAAAAAAAAATTCTTTTTAATAGGAAGCACCTAATAGAAATATATATCAGAGAAAGGGATAACTTCCGCCCCTTTCTAGAAGCATTTCATGTCGGGTCATTGCGAGTTTTCTCTGAGCCGTCGTTAACCGTCATGTGACAGGATAGTTTACGTCGGAGACCGATTGATGAATTAACCGAAAATTGAGACCCCTAGAGCCTCAAGAAGGTATTGGGAGAAGGGACTCACAGAGTGATAGGGTTTGAGAAGGGAATGCATCTGTTCCACTTCTTCCGAGGTAAGAGTCTTGACGACAAAGAGTTGATCGAAGGAGAGGAAGAAGCGGGCTCCACTTCGACCTGGGTTGTCCTCAGCCACAGGCTGTGATCGCGTCAGGGACTCGCGGTAATCTTGGTCGTCCATCCCAAATCTCTCTCGCAGGTTTCGGAATACCAAGGGACAATACTCCTTCACTTTGAAGTGACTAGGCATGTTATCCCTGCCATGACGCAAAAGGAAAGAATTTGTCAGAAAGACGGATATCAAGAGCAAGAGCAAGAATTCTTAGCCCATTTAATCGAACTAATTCTCTTGCACGAATTGTATTACTTTTTCCCGCAGTCAAAGCTAAAATGAACACGCATTAAGAATCCGTTAAGGTTTTATGCCTGAGGTGTGCCTACAGTCTCCAAAAGAAGTAATCCAAAAAAAGCCTTACTTGTTGAAGAGATGATGATCCACCTTGACCTTGGTGAAGGATTTGAAATCATCAGGCATGAGGAATACAGGGATGTTCACGTGACTCAGCTGGCTGATCTAAATAATAATTCAATAAAAATGTTTTGCATTTTCTTACAATGGCAAGTCTGGGCCTGACGTTAAGGCATAATTTAAATTAGGGCTGTTAATCGACTAAATTTTTGAATCGATTAATCGAATTTTAATCGATCCTATAGTTCCTCCTTGAAACATATCCTAGGCGCTGGGAATGATTCTGCTTGTGACATGCCCAACACCTAGGCGAGCCTCAGGAATTGACTCAAGGCGATGCAGTCGTTAACATAGCAGTTACTATCCATACATATCAATACAATAGTTCATCCTACAAGTAACACATTCCAGTCGAAAAGAAAATAGTTACTATCATACTTAGCCAGATAAATAATGAAACGTAAGCAAAGAAGTGCACTGAGGCCCTTTGCCATTTAGCCAACCCATAACGGAAGGATGCCAAAATGTAACCTAAAAGATTGGACATATACAGAGACACTTCATTACGCAGAGATTTAAATATTCATCAACGATTTACAGGACAACACAGGATGGAAGAGCAAAAATAGGACAGGAAAAAAACAAGGAATAGGAGAGGGTTTCACACTTTCGTTTCCACCCCTCTCGCCTGCCCCCGGCTTTCCCCCTCTCTCGGCTACGTTCCGGGGAACCCACGGACGTCTACCGGTGCACTTACACGTACGCCTCTCACTCCCCAGTCTTCACATTATCCTTTTTCCTGCCTCTCCTGCCCAACTCCCCTTCTATGCTTTCCCTTGCAACTTCCCCATTACGACTTTCTTTTCCCCGATTGCATCCAGTGACTTCTCGGTCGCTCTGTCCAAGTCCGCTGTCCCACCTTAGCCTGAAGCGCGGGGCCTGCAAGGCAATGCCTTTAAAGGCCATAGGCTAGGCAGAAGGACACGGGATGCGTACCAGTACGCTTGTGGATGCGAAGGGGCCAGGAAGCCTTTTTTGGAATAGTCTGAAAGCGATGGCTTTGTTTTTGTGTTCCCTTTTCCCAAAAATATTTTGTCGTTTTGAGGACCACTGAGTGGTGCGAAAACGACTACCTTCTATAAGCCATCATTACCTTTCATTCCCTTTTCGTTTGTTTTGCAAAACTATGAACTACACAGTAAAATTATAAGGGGAAAAAGAGGCATTCAGGGGGAGACTAGAGGGTCGATTAAAATTCGATCAATTTTTACTAATTTTTTTAATCGCGATTAATATCTTAATTGATTAATCTAATTGAATTGACAGCCCTAATTTAAATTTTAAAAACTTTATATCGTCAATTAAATTTTGAGCAATTGTCACTGTCCTACATAGCCGCGACACGTGCGTGGAATCGTCGGGTGGAAATGAATGGAAGGAAGGATCTTGTGTAGGCACCCAGACAGCAGGTAGCATGTAGGAAAAAAAAAGGAAATGCAGGAAGAGGATGGAGGTTTTATTCTTCCCTCCGGCACTGGAAGACGCATTCTCCTCCTGGGTCCGAGTACTCGTTTCCCTGCTGTCTGTCTGTCTCGTCCGTAAGCATGACCTCGATAAGGTTCAACGCGCTATTTATGGAAGTCTGGAATCGGAATGTCAACTCGAGCGACCACGGGTCACGGCGGACACCAACGCGGGGAGGGACGGATCAGATCGTTTCCAATAACTGCATTTATGCCTGCACACTCGAACGGAGATCTCTATCTACTACATGCCAAACGTAGGTTCTTCTACTTCCTTTTAGCTTCTAACGGGCTTTTAGGTAAGCGAACTAAAAGTCCGTTAATGGCCTAGGGGAAGCACAAGAACTAAGGGGGAGGTGATACAGGGCCCTTTCTTTCCCGGGCGGACCCATGTCTACGAGAAGATGCTCCGACCGCGTTGAAGAAACTCCCTCCAGCCTGGTCTGCATCATTGCACACGGTCCCATTGAAAACGGTGGGATCTAATTTCAGTCAAGAAAACGTTCCTTTTTCTATCCGCGTTGGTGTGCGGCCACCCTGAACACGAGACTCCTTGTACGAACCAAGAGGCAAGGAAATCAAGAGGAAATTGTGGTCTCCCGAACGCGACAATTTCCAACGTTTCAAACGTAACGGAATCGAGTGGCAAGGGATGGAATGCGATACAATAGAGTGAGTCCTAGTAAAAGACGAAATGAAAGCGAGAATGCGATAGAGAGGTGAATAAATAAAGACTTCCCCTTTTGCCACATCTGCGCAAAAAGCAGTCGTCTTTTCCCTCTTTTACCAAAGAGTAGTCATGCACAACTTTTATTCTATAAAGAGGCAAATGCATATTTCGACTTGCGTTCGAACGCCACAGGTAATACCGAAGGCCTTTATCTGCTGGGTCCGTTCATCAATGAGACAACTGTTAGCACTGCTCTATGCAAACCATCTTCCTTATATCCGGTTGGAAGGGAAAAGTTTATATATCCAATTTCATTTCATCAAATCGTAGATACGGATATTATTATATTTGTAGTGATTCGAGGCACGAAAGGAAAGGAGGCGGGTTGCGCATCACTCCCATAGAGGCTGTCAGGATACCGAAGAAAATATGACAAGAAGGACTTTTCCCTCCTCCTCGTCCCCGTCATACCCAAAGTACGGGCCGAGACGCTGAGGCATTTATACCAATATTTGGCAACCCAAACCAATGCCATAGATTCCTCTATTCATGCAGACTCGATTTCACGCACATAATGGGGCAGTGAAGGACAATGATGATCGCTCTGAGTAGCTTCATAGGGTATTTCATCTTTTATTCCCCATATTCACGGAGGAATCATGGAGCTCGATGAAATATTAAACATTTTTCAGCGAATATGTGCCCAAGCAATAACTGAAGGAAATGAAAGATTTTCATGAATGCTGCAAATAAAAAACGAGCTAATATATGAATCAATGTAGAGTAGAACTCCAATTATCCATGCTAACGGAAGGGGTAATCGATCTCCAGATATTTGGAAAATAAGGATAATCCGAATAAATTTTATTTCTACTCAAGGAAATTCAAAGACAATTCAAGTTTGAATTAGAAATGGAAGTCCCTGCCCCTCCAATTTGATAATAGGAAATGTGTCATTATTAATTATTATACATCACAGTACAATATGTGCGACAAGCACTGTATAGTAAAATTAATAGACTGGCCACAACACGCACGTTCGTTTTTTTTTTATTGCTTTACACGGATTACCCGGAAACTGGTTGATCCGCAAAAAGATAATCGGGGTTCTTCATTAAGTAAATTAATTATAGCAATTGCAAACTGCGTGAAAAGACTAGTATACATTTTGTCACTTGGAGAAATCGAAGGCGCATCGATTCCCTCGTAGGAAATGGGACCGCGTGTGTACAATACTGCCGTATCCTTGTGTATGCTTGCATCCTTTCAAATTCTTTCCGATTTTCTTTTTAGGCACAGAGAGCGTAGTGTGTGAAAGAACTTTTACCAAAGTTATATACATCTCCGTTCATCAAGTTAATAAATGAATGGTTAACATGAATATATACCACAAAAAAATACCTTTGAGATGTCTTCATCAGAAAGAAAGCAGCAACCATGTTTCAAGCAGGAATTCTGACTTCAAAATCATTACAGCAGATTGAAGTAGTAGGGCAAATGAATAACCATGGAGAAACAATTACATACCATGGTTACACAAACTCTGGAAAAAGAACTTCAGACTAATTTTTCTATAAGCAGTAGACCTATACCAATTACTCATGAAGCAGTTTGCACTAATCACAGCAATGTTGATTGCAAATGAACTGTCTGAAATGAACCATAAAAGTATTAGTCTGTCTGTGACAAGGGTTTTCACACTACAACTAGCTTCCCAGTTGATTTCACTTTCTTAATTCTATCAGACCAGGAATGACCAGCAGCACGAAAGGTGTAGGAAGAGAATTTTTAAAGAGAATTTTTAAAAGGCAAGTGCATGAATCTGCATCAGTTCATGTCTCAGCATGTTTCCATCCCCCATTTTCCCCCTACATTGAGCCATTATTATTTTCTCTCCACTCATTCTACAGTTTCTTTCAAATACATGCAAGAAGTATACGTTCATTGGGAGTGCAGGTACCCCAAGTAAAATCATGCCATATGTTCTAAATATTCTGGAACAAAGTCTATCAACACCCCTACAAGTGACTTTAAAGAGCCATGCTGCTATTCTGGCCTAATAAATATAAAATACAATCTTTACACTTTAAAGGCATAAAATAACACTGGCCATCCCATCTTCCCTTCACCATGCCCAGTTAGGTGAGTAAGGACCACTTTTAGCATCAACTTGCCCTTTAAATCATAATTTTCATTGTCCCCATGAGAGAACAAGATTTCTCTGTTTCACAATTACTAATTGGTTAAAGGTGAACCTCTGAGAAACTTGAAGACTAAAGGAGCTAGAAAAGCGACCTTTGGGGGAAAGGAAATTATTTGTTGAAATGCTGCATCCAGGTGAAGTGTGGCAGTTTAAATTTATATTTCTTTTACATTACATATTACATTACATAACTCTCCCAAAAAAAGGGACAAGTCATGTCTATGGTCTCCCCAGACCAACTAGGATCAAAATATGTCCAGGGAAGTTCTGGACAGGGTATACAGTCAATCATGACATTTGATTGCTAATTTACAGACCCTTTACGCCAAATGGTAAAGATATGAAGATAAACTTTGCATCTTGCATGGCTACAACTTTCTCCTTTAAAGGGTAAACACCTCGGGTTTAAGTTGAAGAACTGATTTTTGAAGGTAGGGGAGGGTGATAATATTTATGCTCTAAACATGAGTCAGTTCACAGCAGCCCAAGGCATCAGATAATATATCCAGTCACCCAAAGCCAGTTGTCCTACTGGGTGAGACCATGAATGAGGAAGAGAGGCACAAATCAGGACTAGATCTCTCATACACTTACCGTGTGGTTGACTCCCCACATGAAGACAGAGAGGATTGGTTCATTCGCCCTGAAGAGTTTCCTCTTCTGGTGCTTCACCCTGATGTGTTTCTTCTTCAATTTACTTGGTCCATTTGAGAAAGGCATGATGGTTAGCTAATGGTGGATCTCCTCAACATAAACTGGTTATGACTGCAATGTGCTGATGGCCAGCACCAGATTGGAGGCTTTGTTAGATCTAGTAGGGCTTCCTAAAGACCAGTGTGTCACCTCAAAAAATGGATCTGATTCATGCTGCCCTATCAGGATCTTCACAGACCATTGTGAGATGAATTTTCAATTACTTATTTGCTTGTGAAGCCAAGATGAGCAAACCTCTATTGGCCAATGAAGGCCTATAGCACCAGCATCCTTTGTTTTCAGCAAGTTTCAGGACATCTGAAACATAGATTTTAGGAATCAATAAGATGGCATATCAGGGTAGAATGCTAAATCGCACTTAAGGGAATGGGATACATCCATGCAGTACACCTTATTAAAATAGGACATCCAATTCAGAGAGATGGAAGCCTACTTTTTTTGTAATGATCTCATTTGTTTCTGCTAGCGATGTAATGATATTGAATTTTGGCTAATTAATATTCAATATTGAAATATATATAATTGGCACATAATTACAAACATTCAAGCCCTAAGAAAAAATTCCAAGACATTCATGAAAACAACTTGTATCATGAGAACCTTCTGCTTATTGCAGTTTTAGACAAGTGGAGATCATCAAAAGCAAGAGATCCACCACACACTAATAGGGATAATATAAGAAAAGGTATAATGAAGTTCCTGAAAGATTAATCACAGAAAATAAAATCACAACCACCCAATAAGAGAATGCCATTCAGGAGCAATGGGAACTCATGAACAAGGCAAGCCACAGGGACATAGGTTATAGTACCAACCCCCAAATTTCCAGGATTTCCAATGTTCATTATGTCAACACCTCATACACAAGTTGGCATGATAATGACATTGGAAATAGGGAAATTGTACGTCTTGTGCTCCACCTCCCCCAAACATTTTGTTATAATACATGGAAAAATTAATCTTAAGCCCCACCCACTTTCCTTTGCAGTCTCATTTCTGTATCAGTCCTGATTCCAGTAACTCCCTCATATCTTGCACCTATGGACCTTCCCCAAGGTCCCCTTCATGTACACTGCAGTCTCTTCAGTTAGCCCCTACTTCATTGTTTAGTGGAGTCATTTGTTAAGGGTTGTAACAGCAGTGTGATTTCTATGCTTTTTCATTCTCTCTTTAGTCGCAGGACACAGGTACATGCACATCTCCAAATGTCAAGCTTGTCAAAGCAAATCTCGATGACTTCTCATGAAAGCCTAGGGCCTGCGAGTGAAGTCATTATAAAATGGTTGCCACATGTCCCATAAACTCCCATTCATTTTAGGATGGGGTTCCATCCCATTTCCTCCCTCATGAGGAAGAGGCTCATATCCTGAGCATGGGCCCATACATCTAACATTAAGCCTCATTCAGCCAGGAGGGGGCTAACATGGTGAATGTCCAGAATACCAGAGGGAAGGAGGGTTGACATGACAATCTTTGTCCAACCATGAAAGGGAGAGTATTACCATTCACACATACACCAGGAGCATCATGTGCATGTGAAGACACTAACTGCCTAGAAGGGATGGGCCCTCAGAGCTTTGCAGCCATCCTCTTGCCTACAGTCCGAAAGGAAATAAAAATCTTACATGTTGTTATATACCTTTTTTAATTAAATAAAATGCATTCAGGCATGTTCGACCTTCCTCTGATAAAGATGAGTGATCATCCATCACTCGCTGCGGACTTCACTAGGCTATAGGCTACGTTAGGCTTAACGAGAGCCAACCGTCTGGTCCCAATGTTTAAGTAGGATATCAACCATATGCCAACCATAGCTTTCAATATGACATGGCATAGTTTGAGAGAACTAATTTCAAATGTTAGGCCTAAATGGAATTTCTACGTTTCACGTGAGTGAGCTCGGCTAGCCAAACGTTTACATGTTCGACAAGAAACACAATATGACCCAGAGTTCCGCATTTGGGACACTCCTGTTCCCAGTAATTCCTCTCATTACAAACAAGGCAAGGTTTTTAAAGCCTAGAGTAGAAGTCACCTCTCCAGGAAATAAAGTCGATATGGCTAAACTGTTCACAAAACGAGCGTATATCCTACCGGTTTTTGACTTGGTGGCTAGCCTAGAAACCCGTTCCTCGTTGCTCAGGGGAGCGCCATATTAGCGATCGGATCAATCGCATGGTCCCTTGTGCTCTGATTGGTGGATTTGATGACGTCAACAACATCGTCTGGTTCTGAGACAAAAATGACGCCGTGGGCACCACGTGCAGGATGGCATATACTAGGGAGGCGGCTGCCCGTCCAGGCAGGCCTTGTACGGAGTTTATTGCCCTCTCCGACGATTATTTGCTTTTCTCTCGTGAAAACTCGAAGGTTTGCGCAGATATTAGTAATTTTTTCGAGTTCTTAGGAGCTGGTGGAAGAAACATTCTGCTTGATAATCATAACAGACAGCTCCAGATCAGGGCCGGCCTTAGGCATGTGCCACATGTGCCTCCGCACAGGGCGCAAATTCACCAGGGGCGTCAAAACGTGCCTGAATAAATAAAGCTATTATGGATGCCACCCTCAGTTTTACTTCAAAAGTCTTCCGTTTCGGCGTCTTTTCGGACGATAAGGATTGACCCTTCTCCCTTCTGAAGGGGGGGGGGGGGGGGGGGGGGGGGGGGGGGNGGGGGGGGGGGGGGGGGGGGGGGGGGGGGGGGGGGGGCGCGTTGGGAGTCTCTTTGCACAGGGCGCTGAAATAGCTAGGGCCGGCCCTGCTCCAGATGCAGTGTCATGAAACACTGGAAACATTGAAAATTAAAGCTTCGAATGGGAAAGCTCACAGCACCCTCAAGATAATCCATGAAACATGCGTATTTCGTTCATTTTAATAATCTAATTAGGAAATTGGTGACGGCATCGGAACTATTCCGTTTTCCCTTTCCTGTGTTGGACAAAATCCTGAGTGACAATCAAGTTCCTGAACCGAATTTTTAATAAGCACAGCGGCTTCGTTATGAGTGTTGCCACACCACAGATCGATGTATTAGACTGTTGCGTAGCGTTTCGCAGGTTCTCATCAACTAGCATGTGAGATTTGTTGGCAACAAAGCAACACGATGGACACGACGAATCGAGCCGCAAAAAAAGCCTCCGTAGCCGCAACTACCACACCCGTATCTGTATGACTTCCAAGAATTCGACTGGAATCCTATCGAAGATCTTTTTTGAAATTATTATCAAAGCCTTGAAGGGGGATGACTTCCTTTCTTCGTAGCCTGCTCGATACGATTATTGACTGCTTTAGTTTATTTTTCATTTATCTATGTGTTGACGATGGCGAATCGACGCAAAAAAAAATCCATCCATTCATCATCGATAAGCACCGGTCTCGTTCCTAGCATCCAGCATAACATCACGAGTTTTGTCTCGAACGGGGTACGTGTAAATGGCATGCCGCGAAATGTTGCGTAAACGATACGGGCCGGTTGCCTCGTCATGTTCTTGGACTTCTGAATCGTTCGCAAGGTTTGGATTCGGGTGGAATGGTTCAGATGCAACTCTTTCGTGATTGCGACTCGCGGACGGTCGGTCGCACTTTCCACGTCTTCCCTACCTCTTCGAAACCTCGCGAACCCTTCAGACGAGCGACACGGCATCTCGTGCGGGCACTCGTCGCAACGTTTCGTGGGTCTCTCGTATCGTTTTCTCCACTTCAGAAACGCGATTCGCTTCATTCTAGAAATACGACTCGCTTCGTTTCGAGCCCATCCCTCGTTAGCGACGCCGATCGCACGAAGAGTCGCACGACGTCGCGTAACGGTGACGAAAACGTGCTCGTTGCCGTAGTAGCTCCACGCACGGGCGCACGGGAATGCATACGAGAGAGTACCTGGGATGCGAAAAATGATATTTCGGCATTCCGTCACGACGAGCGGTGAACGAACTCCTTGCATCCGGGGAGGGTGGAAACGAAACGGTCGAAATGCCGGTCGATCCCCGGAGGAAAGGAAAAGCTGAAGCGAACGGAAGTCCTGGAACGCTTGAAGCGAGAAGGCGATGCTTGCTCGGCCTTGGACTTTCCGAGGGGGAAACGCATTCGCATTCGCATTTGCCGTCTCCTCATCCGAGCACGAACGAACGAAGATCCGCGAAGGAGAGTTCGCATCGAGGAGAAACCAGCGTCGCGTGCGGAGGACATCCGAGGGCGCTTTTTTGCCCAATGGCTTCACGTAAGAATAAAGGCAGAAGTGGCGCAGCCGTGGGATCGATCGGGTGCGTTTTAGCACGCGAAGTCGAGAGGATATTTTGCACCGATTTTCCCTCCCGTTTTCCCTCGGGAATCGGGATCCTCTGGAAGTAGCTCGCGTCTTCGATGAAGCCGATCTCGTGGATACTTTTCGCAGAAGAGGCGATTCGAGAGCGAAGAAAGAAACTTGGGATCGAAAACGACAGACACAGATGGGGAATTCGAGCAAGAACCATGGAAGAGACGTCCTTTCTCGTCGTCCGTCCGCACGGAACGATATCGAAATCGTTTCGGCGAGTTCCAAACTTTTTTGAATCGCAACCCATTCGCCAACTTCCAAAAAATGTCGCAGTCTAACTAAAATCTTCTTAATGAGAATTTTTCCGTTTTTCCGCATCGGCATGCGAGCGCACGATTTTTTTCCATCAAGAGAGGTTGAGGTGTGCGCGACGATTTCGACTCACGGTCCCTCGCGATCGCGAAAGGAAAACTTTCTCGCACGTTCATGAATTCACCCGTACCGCGATCGCGCACGACTCACGAAATCACGCGCGATCGCGCGAGAGTCGCGTCACGCACGATCCAGACGTTAGGGAGGAGAGGGGAAGGGCCGTCGAGCGAATGAAGTCGAGCTCGACTCGGACTCGGGCCGGATGGAATCCCCTCGTTCCTTTCCCTCGATCGAACCCTTTGGCGTCTCGGCACCGAGGACGAACAAAACCGCGACAGCCGAGACGAAGCTCGACCGGCGAGGTGTCCACCCTTTTCCCTTCTTCCCTTCTTTCCTTCTTCCTTTTTGCTCTCGCGTTCGAGCGAGCGAATTCCGTTCGAGTCGCGCTCGGGCGAGTGCCGTATCCGAAACCCTGCGGGAGTCACGACCGTGAGAAAAATTCCCGAGTGACGCTTCGCTCACGAACGCAGTTGAAAATTTACTTTGAATTTAGTTATTTCAATAAATTGTCGTTTCAATATACTGTATATTGTTATCGATGTTTTAACATGGAACTCTAAGTGTAATCTTTCTTTTGGCCCACCCTGTATACGATACAGCTGTTATTTCATAATTAGCAGAAAAATGAAACGAACAATTTCTTTAAAACGAAAGTGCCGAATTTTTCTGAATTTTATCGACGCATCGAGTCGAAAGGAATCGAAACCGCGTCGAGAGAGGCGAAACGAAAAGAAGGAAGAATCGGAAGAAGGTACCAGCTTTCGTCAACGATGAGAACAGAAGAACGCATCGAAAAGAGTCGCCTGTCGTTGCACGGTACACCGTAGCAGGTCGACGTAACACCCAAGTAGCCGGCCGAAGCCACGATGCCGTTCCGTTCCGACGCCTCGACCCGTCTTCTATCGGTCGTCCCGGATAGATAGACGATCGCAGCAAGGCCCAAGGAAGTTACAGAACATTAGCGATCTCACAGGAAAAAAAATTCCGAGAAAAAAAAATTAGCATGTCGAAGTTTCATTTCGTCACTTCGATGTTTTGACATGGAACCGATACGCGGATCGCATCATTTTCTCAAGGGTAGGAGTAGTCAGCGGTTAGAGAACTCTCTCCATTTCGAAGATCGGGTTTCCGATGCGTTAGGTTACCGTACTGCACCTTGCCTCACCTTGCCCCACTTTGCCTCACCTTGTCCCACTTTGCCTCACCTTGCCCCACTTTGCCTCACCTTGCCCCGTCATCGACGGAGAGTAGAATCGCGTCTCGAGATCGGAAGTTTCGTTTCTCCTCGTCGAGAGAAGCTAAGGACGACGTCCGCAATGAGAAAAAATTCACGTTTTCGTTCTCACATTTTCCATGGAGGGAGGAAACGCGCGTGGATTCCAGAAGATCGTCGGGGAACAGACGGAAGAGAACGACCGGAGTCGCGGATACGCGTTTGCTTTTGGGATCTATGAGACTCCGAGGCGCCCAGAAACCCAGAAACGTATCAATCCAGACACCCAGGCACCCAGGCACCCTGGCCCCTAGGCACCCCACACGCACCGATTCGCTCCGCACTCGGCTCACCCCAGATCTGCTCGGGACTTCCTCGGGACGGGATGTCCTCGACGTCTCGGGACCTCGAAGCGACGACCTGACGGAATCTGGCCCCGGGTCGATGTCGATCGACGACCTCCTTTTCGGAATCCATGCACAGCAAACGATAGGGCGAACGAAGGGTGTGCGACGGGTGTGCTCGCTCTCGGAGGCGCATGCTCGCCGAAATGTTCCTTCCCTCTCGAAGAGACTCGCAAGGCACCGTCGGGAGCGTGCAGGTCACCCTCGACCGTTTCGCTGCCTATTCGATTCGAAGGGTACGAGGAACGCTTCGACTACGATCGAGCGTCGCGGCAAAAGGATTCGCATCGGGTGGGTGCATGCGGACAGGGTAGTCCCGTCGCCTCGGTCGAGAGACGTCCTCACCTCGGTCGAGAGACGTCTTCACCTCGGTCCGAGGACGTCCTCACCTCGCTTTACGACCCCCGTCCAGCTTTTCCACCTTTTCTAAATCGAACGCGGAAACGAGAAAGCGAAATGCGACGCCGTGTCGGACGTTGGATTCGAGAGACGAACACGTTAGACCTCGATCATGCGGCAGTCGTATCTCGCGCCGGTGGCAAACGACTGCCACTACGGTCGACGACCGTCACCGCGGCCGACGACTGCTACGGGGTTCCGATTCCACTTCGCACGGCTCCAGATGCATCGTCACGAGGCGCCGATATCGACGACCGTCGATGGAACGTCTCTGCACGTCCCGTCGAAGGCGCGACGACTGGTTTTCCCGAGTCGAACGGGAGATGAAAATTCGAACGCGACGCGAAATCACCACGAGGGTAACCGACACGAACGAAAGGGTGAACGAGCTCGCGCTTTCGTCCTTCGTGGTTTGCGCGAAGCGACTCCTGGCACCGAG